GAGAACTCCCCCATTCCAGCCCAGTAATGGCGCCACCACTCACTCACTGGTCTGGACTCCTTGTTTGTCCTCACGTAGCACATCAGCTTCGTCAGCAAGCCCTGCCCCTCTGCCTGTGGACCAGAGCTCAGCCTCTCTGTTCCTTACCACGTTCACAGTTGCCACTCTGGCCTAAGGAATCATCTTCCCTGTGGGAACTGTTGGAGTAACAGCTTTTAAAACTATTTACTAGCTTGAAATATAACCGACAAAGGAAAGTACAAGGAAGGACACAGTCAGCCCAGGGAGTTCTCAGGAAGAGCATTACCAGCCAGGGGAAGTGAGATGGCTGCCAGTTTTTAGAACCCCGTGGTGTGCGCCCATCCCCAGGCAGCTCTTCCTCACAGAAGAGTCTCCTTGTTTAGCTTTGCTTTTCCACGAAAGCATGCACTTTTTAAAAAATTTTCAGCTGAGGATTTAGAGTCATTGGATGCTCACTTGCTTAAGCTGGTATCCTCTGTCTCTTTAGGGAGCATGCCAAAACGTTAAATATCAAACTCTGTAATTATTCCAGTGACATTTCACCTGTTTCCCTGTATTTTTCCAGAGGTGGATTCATAGGGGATTTGTTATAGTTTGGTATAAGTTGCTCTGCATAGAAGCATGTTGGTTGCTTCTTAGAATCTGAAGCTCTTCTGAGCGATGATGTAAGCAAGTGAAAAAAAATTCTTAGACATGTCTCTTGGTGCACATGTGTGCACATATCTGTTTGTACTCCTACGAGGAATTGCTGGGTCTTAGTAGGTCATAGCAACCTCATTTCCAAAATAACAATTTATACTCCTCCCAGCAGCGTGCTTTTGTTGCTCCTCATCTATGCGGACACTTCTTATTGTCAGTTTTCTAAACTTTGGTGACTGCGTTATTCTGGTGGGGGTGGTGCTATCTCATTGTGGTTTTAGTTTGCGTTTCCCTGTGGTTAATCAGGTGGATGCCTTGTCAGGTTTACTGACCACTTAGATATATATATTTGTGTGTGTGTGTGTGTGTGTGTGTGTGTGTGTGTGTGTGGTCCCTGTTCAAATTTTGTGCTTGAATCTTTTTTTTGGGTTGTTTCTATATTTTTATTGGTTTGTAAGGCATTCTTTAGAAGTTCAGGTATTTGCCCTTTGTTGGCTATATCTGTTGTAAATACCACCTTCCTCTGACTTACCTTTTTACTCTCTTAAAGATGCCTTTTGAATATATTTTTTTAAAGAGATATCTTTTGATGTCAGAGTTTCTTACTTTTAATGTTCTTAATTTTATCAGTCTTTTCCTTTATGATTAGTACTTTTTGGTTATTCAACTGTATTGTTAGTTCTACAATGAGCATGAAGATATTCCCCTGTATTATTTTCTAGGAGCTTTATTTTATATTTCATAAAACAACTGACATTAGTTTGGGGTGGGGGTCAGCTTATTGAGATACAATTTACACTCAGTAAATTGCACCAGTTTCAAATATACCATTCTTGGAGCTTTGACAGTGTATATTGCTGTGTAACTATCAATACAATCCTGATACAGGACATTCCTATGGCCCCAGAAAGTTCCCTTGTGCCCTTTTGCAGTCCCCTCTCTCCTGTGTGGCCCCTGGCCTCCGGCCACACTTGATATGCTTTCTATTACTATGGTTTTGTTTTTTCTAAAGTTTCATATAAATAGACTTCTTTTGCTTAGTGTTTTGAGAGTAATCATGTTGTTGGGTATGTCAGTGGTTTGTTCTTTCATTTCTAAGTGTGTTTCCGTTGTACACACAGATCACACCTTGTTCAGTGACGGAGGGTGGACATTTGGGTTGGTTCCTGTTTGGGGTTATTAGGAATGAAGTTGCTGTAAACATTCATGTTTGTGTCTTTGGGGATGTATGTTTTCATTTCTCTTGAGTAGATAGCCACCAGTAGAATTGCAGGTCTCAGGGTAAGAATACTGTATGTTTAAACTTTTTATTAGAAATGGTCAAACTGTGTAACAGGGCAACCAGACCGTTTTGCATTTCTATCGATGCATCAGAGATCCAATTGCTAAACTTGCCAACACTTGGTATTATCAGTCTTTTTAATTTTAGCAATTCTGTTCTGACTGAATAAAGGTGTTTTTACAGATAAAGATGTAGAGCCATGTCTTTTTGTGGTTTTAATATTCATTTCCCTTACGACTCACAGTGTTCAACATCTTTCCATGTGCTGATTTGCCACCCATGCCGTCGTTGGATGTCTGTTCACATCTTTTGATGAACATCCAGATGGAAGAGATGTATAGAGCCAAGTATGGGGAAAGGGTGTGGAGCTTGGGTGCCCTCTCTGGGAGCACCACTCTCCCAGTTCCTCTGAATGTTCACCAACCTTGAAGCTCCCTAAATGTCATGCTATTGGGATTCTATGGAGGCTTCCTCTTGTAGGCATGATGGATCATTACCTCCATCTGCAGCTCCTCTCCCATCTGGAGTGTGGGGGGTGGGGCTGAAAGTTCCAGGCTTATTTCTAATCACAGCTTGGTCTTTCTGGTGACCAGCTCACATCCAGGAGCCACCCAGGAGCCCTACCCTAAGTCACCTCATTAGAACAAAAGACTCCTTTTACCCAGGGGAGTTCAAGGGATTTATTTAGGAGCTTTGTATCAGGAACAGGATTTGGGGGGGGTAAGGGGGTGCACAGGGCACAAATAAAACCAAAGATGCTCCTGGTGTTCTTATCACTTAGGAAGTTCCAGGGGTTTCAGGAGCACTGTGCCAGAAGTTGGAAACAGAGACCAGTATATATTTTCTTATTACGTTAAGTGTCTTTTCTCCCCTTTTAAAATATTTATGTATATTTTAATTTTTGTATGTAGTATGAAATAGGGGGAAGGTTTTATTGTTTTTAATTTTTAATTTTTTTATTGATTTTTATAGAGAGGAAGGGAGAGGGGTAGAGAGAGGAAAAACATCAACATGAGAGCAAAACATTGACTGGCTGCCTTCTGTGCGCTGCCTACTGGGGATGGAGCCTGCAACCCAGGCATGTCCCCTAACTGGGAATCTAACCAGCAACCTTTTGGTGCATGGGATGAAACCCAACCAACTGAGCCACACCGGCCAGGGTGAAAAGTTCTATTTTTTTGGTCTAAAGATTAGCATCATTTGTAGAAACGACTGTCCTTTCCCTCTCTTCTGTAGTACTGCCTTCCGAGTGAATGGAGGGTCAGTATTTCCATGGGTCTGTTTCTGGCTTGTGGTCTATCCTAGTCCATTGGTTTGTGGAACTCTGCTAGCATCACAATGCACATACTGTAGTTTTAGAGTAAGTCTTGAGAGAGTTCTCAGTTTATTGCTTTTAAAGAGTGCCTTGGCTGTTCTTGGTTGTTTCCATTTTCATGTATCCTTAGTCTTGTCAAATTCAAACAAGAAAGTCTTTTGGGATTTTGGCTGAGGTTGCACTGAACCCATAGATTCATTTTGTGAAGGATTGGTAACTATATAATACCGAGTTTTTTATCCTTGAGTATGATATAATCTTTAAAAAAAAAAAAAAGTTTTTATTGATTTCAGAGAGAGAATAGAAACATCAATGATGAGAGCAAGGGTCAGCTGCTCCTGTACACCCCTTACTGGGGATCGAGCCCGCAACCCAGGCATGTGCCCTGACCGGGAACCTCGACCTCCTGGTTCATAGGTCGGTGCTCAGATGCTGAGCCATGCCAGCTGGACATAATCTTTCTTTAATAAGTTCTTTTTAGCTGTTTACAGATCTTTCACATCTTTTTAAAAGTTATTTTTATATATTTCTGATTATAATTGGTATCTTTTTTTTTTAGACTTTCCCTTTCTAACTTGTTAATATATAGAAATACAACTCAGTTATACACACTGCCTATTCAAAAGTGATGGCAAACTCAGTTTTTCTAATAATTTATCTTCAGGCTCTTTTAAACTTTTTATGTACAGTGGCACAGCATCTGTGAATAATGACAGGTTATTTTTTCTTTTCCAGTCCTTAGACCTGTTTATTTAGCAGAGATTTGTTAATTTTATGTCTCTTTAAAGAACCAACTTTGGGTTTTGTTGATCTTCTATTTGCATGTTCTTACTATCTTAGTCATTTCTCCAGCACTCAAACGGGGCATGCATTTGGCCTGATTCCTTCCTCCTGTGTTGTCTCCCCTCTGGCCCATTTTTCATCTTGTGCTCCTCATATTTCTGGATTTGTTCACTGGGAGAGTTTCACTTTGGAGCCTCTCATATAAAAACTAGGAGGCCAGGAATTGAAATACACTTCTTAGTGGCAGCTTCTAAGTGGCAGAGCTGGGCCTCAAGTTTTTCAACAGCTACTAATGGTAAATTGCAGAACAGTGCTGCTGCGGACTTGTCTCTCACTGTTCCTGCCTCAGCTCTGCAGTCTGATTCTCTGTGGTATATCATGTTTGTGGGCCCATAGGTTGTGCAGTGATGTGAGAGGCTGGCAGCTGGTCAGTGCAACAGCGCTCGAGGTGCTTGATTCAATCAAACTTTTGAAGCCTCAGCTCTGGTCCCATCTCTAGTTTGTCTAATAGTGACATGAGATACCTTTCAGTTGGAAAATAATACACTGTGTTTGATTTATGAGCTTTAAATAACTAGCAGGAGTATTTTGGAAATACAGTTAAGCTCTTTTGTTTGTTTCTCCATTTGTAGAATGAACGGGTTTCTAGCTTAAAATTCTGCTTTTTTGCTGGTATAAAGACTGTTCACGTAGTTTTTATCAGAACTGTAACCGGAGCAGTCATTCACTTTGTACAAAGAATTTTGATCTGCTAATATGTATACTATGTAATTTATAGTTTATATACTTTTTTTTTTTAAATACATCTTTATTGATTTGAGAGAGAGGAAAGGAGAGGGAGAGAGAGAGAGAAACATCAATGATGAGAGAGTCATTGATTGAGCCCACAACCCGGGCATGTGCCCTGACCGGGAATCGAACCCCGATCGCCTGGATCCTAGGTCAATGCTCAACTGCTGAGCCAGGCCCGGCCGGGCTAGTTTATATACTTTTTACAGTTGTTTTGTTAAAATGCCAACATAATATTTGTTCTGTTTCATAATGGTTTTACTTTTTAATTTTGCAGAGTTAACACTGAATCCTCCAGAGGGAATTGTGGCAGGTGAGGCACTAAAGTTAACCTTTTTCTAATTTACTTCTAGTAGCTAAAGCTGCCTTTGAAGTGACAATGTGGATATTTTTCTTTTCCTGCAGGCCCCATGAATGAAGAGAATTTTTTTGAATGGGAGGCATTGATCATGTAAGTTAATCATATGTGTTGTTAGTCTTAAGACTTTACTGGAAATTGGACCTGTGCATCACGTTTGGCAGCGCGACTGTGCTCAGGAGTGTTGATTAGAAAAAGGGCCAAGTGCATCTGAAGTTTAGCTCTTCTCTAATCTGATCATCTGAAGGTGGAAAACAACACAGACATTTATCTATGAGAAATGAGTGTTTCCTTAGCACCACCAGTAAAAGGTTTAGTAAGCATTATATATTTTGTAGAGTTTTAAAGTAAATGTTGAGTGTTCTGGGCTGTGCAGCGTTACCTTCAAACAGCATGGGTGGCTTTGGCTTTAAGAAATTCTAAGCACCAAGGCTTTGAGATTGGAAAGGCTCTTTTGTGTGGGGGTGACCATCCTGTCTGTGCACCAGCTCTGGTTGCCCCTTTGCCTCTCCTTCTGTGTGCCTGGCCTTTCATGTTCCTGACCAGGAGGCATGCTCAGTTCTTCTGAGATGACCAGTACACTTCCTGCTCCATTCTAGAAAGACTGTGACTGGATTTCATGGTATTTCATGTACAGTGATGTTTAAAGAGCAACAAATGGACCTCTGATTTTAGAGTCTTCTATGTCTCTGTGACCCAGGCTCTTTTTCTTCTTTCTACCTTAGATGTGCAATTTTTGGCCATTTCCTTTTTTTTTTTAATCTTCCCCCGAGGATATTTTTTCCATTGCTTTTTCAGAGAGAGGATGGGGGAGAGAGAGAGAGAGAAAACCATCAACGTGAGAGACACACATCAATTGGTTGTCTCCTGCATGCACCTCACCGACCAAGGCCAGGGATTAAGCCTGTAACCAAGGTATGTGCCCTTGGCCAGAATCGACCCTGGGACCCTTCAGTCTGTGGGCCGATGCTCTAACCACTGAGCCAAACCAGCTAGGGCTGAAGATGAGTTTTTTGATAAGCAAAATATTTTCAAAATCAGTAAACACTATCCAGAGACAGTACAGCAGCATGCTAATGTTTCTGATCATTTGTAATGACCTCATTGCTTGAGTCCATGATACTTTATAGTTTTTCTCTGTTTTAGTTTCTGGCATGAGGATGTCTTTGCAGCCTATATTTGTATCTATACGGTATTGTGTCTTTCACTCCTACAGCAATGATAAATTGGATTGGGTCATCGGTGACCTACCTCCAATGAAACACGGCACTAGTTAGTGTAGCTTTTTGTGTTTTAAAGAAACAGGAGATCACACTGTAGGGACTTGATCTGTAATCTGCTTTTCTCATTTACTGTATCACTTGCACTCTTTATATTAACACGGTCATACACACATACCACCAAGCAGCAGGCCTGGTTGTAGGGGCAGATTTTTGGAAGTCTCTTCTGAGTGCAGAGGTCCATGGGCACCTGATAAGTCTTTTGTTTCTGGGAGGCAGTGGCCATGCAAAGCCCAGGAGACTATTTAGAAGCCCTTAAAGGGACACATGAGCCTTTCACTATGTTTTTTTAATAGTGCTATTGTTAAAAATCTGTTAGGGTAACGATTACTAATTTTAGATAAACAGTATAAAATTAAATCAATATTTTGAAAACCTGTCTTAAAAAGTAATTAGAACTGTTTTTAGGTAAAGCACTTTTATGTTTGAATAAGGCTTTTGCTTTAATGTGGAATTCCCCTGCTTCAGGATCTGGTGAGTTTGTGGGCTTTGGTCCTGTTCCAGATCCTTTTACAAACAAGAGTCCGTTCACCAGTGTGCTTAAAACATCTATTAAGGAATTAACTGTCCTCCCGTTGATTCGGCTCACCCTCCTGTCTTGGCAGACAGCTGGCTGAGTTTTTCTACTTAGTGATAGGTTTTCTTTTATTTCTTTTTATTCTGTGACTGTTTCCAGAGTTTCTTCTGTACCCTGGTGTTTATAAAAGCTACGCTCGCCTCATTTTCCAGAGTTGCAGCTTGCCTTTGGAGCCCCCGTCCCAGCCGTGCCGGGAAGAAAACATCTTTCCACATGTCCCAGACACAGATACTGAGAGCCTGTTATTAGGGCCGTTGTTCACAGATACAGACATGTCAGGAGTGACCCCAAACCTCTACCCTGAAAGAACAAGATTTAGGGACTGGGGTGGGAGCACAAGAAATTAATGAACGGGAAGAACTAAATAATAAGATTGCCACCGCCTATTTTCTGATTAATAGTGGGAAATAGCTCTGTTTACTCTTCGGAGCTTATGTTAGAGCCTGCAACTTGGGCGGGGGGTGGGCAGGGCTGTATGGCTGCCATGGCTTTATGGTCTTTGACTAATCACTGTGCCTCTCTGACCTTCACTTATCTGGATCAAAACAGAGGTTCAGCATCCTTTTGACAGTGGCTTCATGTTCCAGAGTCTTGCTGCATGACCTCATTGGCCCCTGGCCTTGGTTGGGGGAGCTAAGGTTCTTAACTGTGCAGGTTGGGTGTGCTCGCTCTTTGGAGCCCTTCAGTAGGACAGAGCCCTGCGGTGCAAAGGCAGAAGTCCCTTGGACTTTTGCCACCTTGTTTCTGTCCTTCCCAGCATTCTCCAGGTAGCTGGTGGTGGTGACCTCCCTGGTGCAAAGTGGGCCTAGCTGCTGCTCCTTCTCCAGACCAGGGGGAAATGACAAAGACTTCCCCTTTTTGAATGGTTGGGGATCCTTGGCTGACTCTACCCCCATGTTACTGTGGCACATTTGGGTCCAAGCTGGGTTACCACCGTGGGTGTGAGGATTCCCAGGCTGTTGCTTCTCTCAGGACTGTGCTTGGCCTACCCCAGGTATGAACATCGTGGTCACAGCATCACCCTTAGATTGGGCTTTCTAGTTTACAGAAGACTACCACAGAGCTTCTCTCATGGGTGTTGTGCCTACTAAAATAAACCCAAGATGTTAAAATAGATGCTTCTGATTTGTACTGTATGTTCTCTGACCCAGAAGTCCCAACCCCAGGTATTTCTTCAACAGAAGTGCTGTCAAGTTCTCTGTGTGAGGCCATTTATGCAACACTACTGCAGGAATATGGACATGCCACTATCTAATGTAATTTACTGCTCATCCACACAGTGGAATGCCATGTGGCTTTGGACAGGGTCAGGCAGCATCCACGCACTGGCCTAGAGAAGGGTCCACAATGATTATGGGGTGGAAGAAGCAAACTCTGGAAGAGTATGTCTAGACCAGTGTTGTCAGCTGGTATTGATCTCACCCTCCACCCCCTCCACTCCCAAGGGACATTTGGCAATGTCTGGAGACATTTTTGGTTGTCACAACTGAGTAGCGGGAGTTACACTACTGGCATCTAGTGGGACACTGCTAAGCACCCTGCAATGCACAGGATGGCCCTACACACAGCATGGGACTGTCTGGCCCAAGATGCAGCAGTGCTGAGGCTGAGACACCCTGATGTGGCATGAGGCATCCCCCAGTGTAAGATTTTCAGTTTTATTGAGATGTAATTTATATCCCCTAAGTTGTCCTGTACTGTCAAGTCAGTGATTTTAGTAAATATGGAGTTCTGTAGTCATCATCACAATCCAGTTTTAGAACATTTCTAAGAAGGTCCTTATGCCTATTTGCAGCCAGTCCCCATTCCCACCTGAGCTGCAGACAGCTCTGCTCTAATTTCTAACTCAATAGAGCTGCCTTTTCTGGACCTTTCCTCCAAGTGGTATCATAAAATACCTAGTCTTTTGTGTCTGACTTCTGGTACTCCGTGTACTGCATAGATTGAAATCCTCTGTTGCAGGGTGTTGGTGGTTCCTCCCTTTTTGTTGCTGAGTCGTGTTCTGCTCTGTGATGGGCCACATCTGATGTATCCACTCCCCAGCCAATGGACACTTGGGTGTCCATGTTTGGGCTTTAGTGCCTCTGTGAACTGTCTGTGTGGACATGCTTTTCCGTTTTTTTGGCTGGATTCACAGGGTTGGAATTCCTGGAGGGTAGTGTAAATCTATGCTTAACAGTTTAAGAAAGTCAAACTTTTCCACAGTAGTTCACTTGCCATTTTACATTCCCACCAGCAGCACGTGAGGGTTTTCATTGCCCCTCCCCTTCCCGCCACACACACTTGGTGCTGTCTGGTTCCAGCCGTCCTACTGGGTATGAAGTGGGACCTTACTGTGGATTTGATCAGCTTTCCCTTGAGGACTAAGTGCATTGACCAGGCCCCTCATGGCCTGCCAGGCTCTGCTGGGGACCCTTCTGGAAGTGGAGGGTGTTAGAAAGTAATGTGCCTTTCTTTTCTTAAAATATATTTTTATTTATTTCAGAGAGAGGAAGGGAGAGAGGGAGAGAGACAGAAACATCAACGATGAAAGAGTCATTGATGGGCTGCCTCCTGCACGCTCCCGATTAGGGATTGAGCCCATAGTCCGGGCATGTGCCCAGACTGGGAATCGAACCTCGATCGCTTGGATCATGGGTCGATGCTCAACTGCTGAGCCATGCTGGCCCGGCAGTGCCTTTCTTTTTTATGCTTCAGGCAGTTATATCTTTGGAGCAAAGCAGTCCCTTAGTAATCCAATTCAAGTTTAAGTACTAATGATGGATTTACAGTCTTTTTTTATTTAAACCCCGGTCATATGTATGAGACTTTTTTTCCTGCGCTATGACAAACCTGAAAAAGGGAATGGCAAAAACAGTGTCTTCACCACCTGCCCCAGCTGGAGAGCCGTGTGGGCTGTGGTGCTGGGACACGCCCAAGGGCAGGTGGCTCACACCAGGTGCACCTAACTCCACAGGTGATCGGTTGTGATGGATGGTACAGGATCGGGGTGCCAGGACTCCGAGTGGAGGCAACAGGCAGCTGTCCCTTGCACAGAGCAGTCACTGTGAACCAGCGGTCAGGGTTAGACCTTGGTGTTGCTCTCAGTATTTGTTCCTCGGCATCTGGCTCACCTGAGCCAGTGATCAGAGTGAGCGATTTGGAACAATTTCTTTTACAGAGTACAGCATGGGTATTTTGTTTTAATACTCATCTTAGCAAATAAGTAAGCACCTGTTTCAGAGCTCTGAGATAACTTAGGCCATTATTTTAATTAATAAGACGAAAAGTAATTTTGGGGCTTTGAAGAACATGTATTTGCCTCAGATAAATATTTGTTTCCTTTGCTTTTCTTGTACAGTTTTTTCCTGGAGATTTTGAGATGAGCGTTTAGTGATGAAGTGAGGCTGTATCACTTCTGTATTGCCTGGAGTATGGCACTAAAATGCGTCCAAAAATAATACTAATTATGTCTCCCTGTCTTGCTTCAGGAATTTACTCGCTAGTGTTTTCCATCAGTCAGCTGGATGCCACTGCCCACGTGGCCCAGCTGCAGGCTCTCCCAGGCACCAGAGCTTCTGGACGAGAAAGGAGCCCTGGTTTTAAACCAGTAGCGAACCAGAGCATTTGAAAATCACTTTGATATTTAAGATGTGGGAACACTTTAGGAAATGTTTGATCATGTTTCTGAGGCTGCAGACGACCCAGTGGATTTTTTTTTTTTAATTTTAAAGAAAGCACTATTATGAGAAACAAAGAACTGTTATCAAAGAATTGAGCAAGTACCATTTGGCTCATTCCAAAGACATTACCCAGACATTTTTCTCTGTCAGGGGTGCCAGGAAGATTGAAGCCCTGGCACGCATTCCTGACATAGTAACCCTGTTGCTTTAACGATAGTATCTCTTATTGCCCAACCTCTGAGTTAGCAGTTTGAACTGTGTTCTCCTCTTAACTCTGGGACTGAACTGATTTAGGACCTTGACCAACTCATTTCATCCTTGAATGTCCCAGCTTTGCTTAAGTGAAAGCAGCACTTCCTGACAGTCTTCATCAAGACATGTGGAGTAGGGTCCAAGTGGCATGTCCTGTCTGCTTTGAGCTTCTGGGAAAGAGGCGTGGACCGATGGGAAATCTCCCGTGAGTGGTCTGTGCTGACCTGTGTGCAGAAAGATAGGCTTCCAGGCATCATTCAGGAAGAGCACAGCAGGGCTGGAGCTGCCCTGTCCCAGGCTGGACACCCTCCCCTGCAGCGGAGCTGGGCCACCTCTCTTCCAGGGGCCCACCCAATGCCCGCCTCTTCATGTGGCTTTCCTGTCCTGGTTTCAGGCCAAGGCTCAGGGCGCTGTCTTGCAGTGACATCCTCCAAAACAAAGTAGCTATTCACTATGGCTTCCCCCAAAGTAGCAAGGACACAGTTTTCAGAATCAAGATTAGCCTCTTAAATGGAAAATATTTAGCTCCACCGAACACTTCACCCTGTTCCTGTTTCGACCATTTTACCGCAGCCCAGCCTCCAAGGCTGGTGACTGCGTCCTGGCCTCCACTGTGGTGGTGTCATCGAAAGCTCTGAGTGTTGACACCAAATGAAAATAAAGCTCTTTCCTGTCCTTTCCCTTTCTTTTTTTCTTAAAAAATGTTTTTTTAATTAATTTTAGAGAGAGGAAGGAAGGGAGAAGGGAGAGAGAGAGAAACATCTATGAGAGCCCTGGTAAGTCTGTTCAGTGGTTAGAGCGTCAGCCTGTGTACCAAAGGGTCGAGGGTTCAGTTCCTAGTCAAGGGCATGTACCTCGGTTGTAGGTTCACTCCCCACCCCTGGTCCAGGCACGTGTAGAAGCAACCAGTCTGTGTGTCTCTCTTGCAGCGATATTTCTCTCTCCTTCCCTCCCTCCCCTCTTCCTCCTCCTACTCCCTTTTATTCTCTCTGAAAAATATCCTCTGGTGAGGATTAACAAGAAAGAAAGAGAGAGAAAAGAAACATCAGTTGGCTGCCTCCTGCACACATATCAACCCGGGCATATGCCCTGATCAGGAATTGAACCAGCAACTCTTCTGTGCAGGGGACGGTGCTCACCCAACTGAGCTACACTGGCCAGGGCTAAAGCTATGCTTTTGAATTTTTTGTCTAATTTTTTTCCAGTGCCATATCTTGTATTTATTTATTTTGAGAGGCAACAGGTCTCCTATGTTGAACTGCCTCTGCAGTGGCCAAGGCTTCAGTCCCTGTGATGGACTCCCTGTGCCGTAGGATTAACAAGTTAGGGTCATTGCTTAGAGAGAGACAGGTGTTTCTAAAGGGGCTTCCTCTCAGTTCTCAAGAATAGAGTGGGATTTCTTTTCTTACTGAGTTGATGGGGCATACCCAAAGTGGTTGCTGCTGTAGTGTTTGTAGCTGTCATTCAGCAGTCCTATTTCCTTTGAAAATTTATATAGGAAAAATGGCCTGAGATATGTTAAAACTGCTCTAATGCAGATTTTGTAAATGACGTTTGTATGAGGCGGACGAGTTCATCTCTGTTAAGATGTGAGCTGGTGGCTCTCACTCCTCTCCTGCTGGCCACTGTATGTATATTGATCAAGAGAGTGTTCATTGATACGTATAGAGTTTTAAAATGTGATGGGACTTCTGAAGTGGTTCAGTCCATTTCTGCCACTTTCCACAGGAGGAGTTGGTGAACCCAGGCAGACAGGCATGCACGTGCCTGGCGACACTGAGTGCTTGGGTGACCGTGTAGGTGCAGGGTGTGGCCCCTAGCTCAGGCCTTCAGGTCAGGGCTCGCTCGCTGCACTGCTGCACGTGTGCACGCCTAGCCTCCTGCAGGAAACCTGGCAGGGACCACCTGTGTGCTCCTTACCTGCTTCTGGAAGGTTACAAAAATTACTTCTGAGGCTCCTTTGAAAATTAAAAATAGCCTTTGGAAAACAACTCTCAACCCCTTATATATTTTGCTACAATAGAATCTTGCTATAACAGGTGCCATAATTTATGTCTTTCTCTGAAAATGTAATTGTATCGCATACACAGAAAAGCAGAGTCCTCAGGGCCTTGCCGGGCCGCCTTAGTTATTTTCTCTGATCCATGATGGAGGCTCTGCTGCCCTGCTGCTGCCTCTTATGTAAAAATTGCCAGTAACTTCGTCTTTGTGCTTGTACCTAAGATTTAAACTAGATTAGAAAGGGACAATGAGACAGTATTTTCCATTCAGGAAAAAATGCCAACTTGTCATTAGTATTTAGATAATCTTTTCATGTGCAGTAAAACAATAAAAATGTCCTGAACTTATTTCCAAAGTGTGGTAGACATTGAAAAATCTACCTTCAAGTGCTATGTATTTTATATCTTCCAGGGGCCCAGAAGACACTTGCTTTGAGTTTGGTGTTTTTCCTGCCATCCTGAGTTTCCCGCTTGATTACCCATTGAGTCCTCCAAAGATGAGATTTACCTGTGAGATGTTTCATCCCAACAGTAAGTGCTTTTGGAAGTTGCTTTGATGGTTCGAGGAGGGTCCCAGAGTAACTACATGAAAGGTAGTGTCAGGAAGTGACATAGACCACTGAAAATATTTTTTATGTTCTGAACTTGAGCAGATTAATCATGGTGATATTGACAGTGATTTCAGTGTAGAAGGACAGTGAAATGTAGATAAAAGAAAATGTGGACCTAACATTGGGTGCCATTTGAGCTGGCCATCCTGCTGGTAGTGGGGTCGTAGGAGGAAGCCAGAGTGGGTGTGTGCTCAGAGAGGGCCACCTGGTCCTCCTCGTCACAGTGTTTTTAACAGTGGAAAAATTGAAAGCAACCTGGGTTATCAACAATAGAGAATTCATTGAGTAAGTTGTACTAATCCATATGTTAGCATACTACATGGATATTTTAAATGACTTAGAAAATATTTAATGATATTTGTGCTATATTGAATGAGAAAAGCAGGTTATAATCTGTGAATTCGTTAATTTATTTTTTAAAATACATCTTTATTGATTTCAGAGAGAGGAAGGGAGAAAGAGAGAGTCATTGATTGGCTGCCTCCTGCACGCTCCCTACTGGGGATCAAGCCCACAACCCAGACATATGCCTTGACCGAGAATCGAACCATGACCTCTTGGTTCACGGCTTGATGCTCAACTGCTGAGCCATACTGGCTGGGCAGTTTGTTACAATTTAATTGGAAATGTAGCACAAAACTGTTTTTGTTTTGTTTTGTTTTGTTTTTATATCTTTATTGATTTCAGAGAGAGGAAAGGAGAGGGAGAGAGAGAGAGATAGAAACATCAATGATGAGAGAGTCATTGATCGAGCTCGCAACCTGGGCATGTGCCCTGACTGGGAATTGAACCCCGATTGCCTGGATCCCAGGTCAACGCTCAACCGCAGAGCCATACCCAGCCGGGCAAAACTGTTAAAATTTATTCTCTCTCAATAATGGCATGAGCTTTTCTTTCTATAAATTTTTTTTCCCGCTAAAACCACCATGTATTACTTTAAAAAAGAGGAAACTAATGTGATTTAAATAAACTTACTGTACTTTATTTGAAAAAGTATCTAGTATCAGGGATTAGAATTCCTGAGTGGCTGTAGTGTTTATGTCTTCCTTGTCGAGGTAGGTAGAGATTTCAGGTAAGAGAGTTAATAAGGAAAAATGTTGTTTTCAGTGACCAAATTTAGAATAATGTTCCTTTTTTTTTTCCCTTTGTTAATCCTCACCTGAGGATTTTTTTTTTTAGAGAGGGAGGGGGAGAGAGAGAGAAACATCAATTGGTTGCCCCCTGCACATGCCCCAACCAGAGTGAGGGACTGAGCCTGCAACCGAGGTATGCGCCCTTGGCCAGAATTGAACCCGGGACCCTTTACTCCTTGGGGCCGATGCTCTAACCACGGAGCCAAACCGGCTAGGGCCGCTTTTTAACATTTTTAGTAGGAATGATTACATTACTGTGAACTGAAAATTCATTGCTCTCTAGTCAGTCCATGGGCGTCTTGTTAATGATGCTATTTGATGAGAGAGGGATTAGATTTAAACATAGTTGATTTCCAGAGAGTACAGACAATCATTTTTATATTAGAGTAAGTTAATAAGTCCAGTTGCCTTTGTCCTAGCCATGTGACCATTTAAAAAAAACAAAAACCATATGAAGGTGGAATTGTCCCATGATGACTAGAACTGGACAGACCAGCCTAGAGCCCCATCGGGATGAGCAGTGCCCTGAGGGCCTGCCTATGCCCACCAGGATGTGGACGGGAGTGTGACACTTGGGGCCTCAGGTTGTGCTCCAGCTGTGCAGATAGCCCACTCTCTGTGTCTGCACCTCCTGCTCCCTTCCTCTGTGGCCTGACCACGTGCCGTGTCACTGGCCCCTGCAGTCTACCCTGATGGCAGAGTCTGCATTTCCATCCTCCATGCTCCGGGTGACGACCCCATGGGCTACGAGAGCAGCGCTGAGAGGTGGAGCCCTGTGCAGAGCGTGGAGAAGATCTTGCTGTCGGTGGTGAGCATGCTGGCAGGTAAGGAAAGGCCTTGGCCGCTATGGGCTCACCGCTAGTGGAGGAGCCAGATGGCTCGGTGGCTGTGCTGCCTCCCTCCTTTCATTCTTGTTTCACTGGGGAGTTTATATATATGCTTTTCTGCTTTTTTATTCCTGTTATTTGTATACACTGTTCCAAGCATAACCATACTTCTCATAATTTTGAATTTTAAAGATGGTATCATGTTGTATATGTGGTATTGACCAGAAGTAGCCGTGCTGCTTCCCGTGGGCCTCTCCTCATTTGGTAGGCATTTATCAGGGGACCTACTGTGTACAGACACTTTACACCAGGGGTGTAAAGCCCAGTATGACACATACCCCAGCTTTAGGGCCCCACTTTCTGAGGAAACAGTCCAGATTCACTAGCCATCACAGGCCACTCTGATAAATCCTGTGGCCGCAATATATCTGGGCTCTTAGGCCAGCTCCCAAGCTGGGACTATCTGGGATGAGTTTAGGACATTTGGGAGCTATGAGGGAACGGAGAAGGAAAGGCGCTAACTCTGGTGGAGGCACTGCCAGGACCTCTATGGCTGGAGCCCAGCTGCGGCAGGGAGCCCTGCAGAAGTGTGCTCTCTTAGAGTCTGCCCCCCATGGGATGTCAGATCATACAAACTGAACCTTAGAAAGATCCTTCTTGACACAAGAACTTGTGGGCCAGGTGTAGCAGTGGTTACAGCAGGCAGGGCATCCTGGAGCCCAGGGAAAGGGTGTGGGAGACACAGGCTGTAGAACTCAGGCTACTGGGGTGTAGGTGACTCCTTCCTGTGTTTCTGATCCAAGTGCCTGGGGAAGGGGGTGTGCTGTCTTTGGGGACAGGAATCCAGAGGGAGCAGGATTTGGGGAGGGAACAGTTTGGGATATGAGTGTCCACCCTGTGGGGCTTGTCTGGGAGCCATTCAGCCGAGGGTGGGTTGTGGAAGTGAGGTGGGATCATCTGTGGATAAGACAGTGGGTCACGGGTGGGACAAGGAGCATAATAGAAAAAAGGGCACATGGAAGGAGGGGTCCTCAGAGAAGTGTGGGGGAGCGGTCTGGAAAGTCAGTAGGAAATGGAAGCATGTCTGAAGGAGGAAGTTGACAGTGCTGTAGGAGGCCCGGGGGGAAGTTCCACCTGGAGGCCAGCCTGAGTAGCCACTAGGTTTGGGCTGACCGCCTGGGATGCAGTGAAGTCGAGGATTTCAGTGCATGTGTGGTTTAAGCTGGGAGGCTCTCTCCATTCTCCCACTGAGTGGACGGAATCAGACGAAAGGTGTTTGAAGATGGGAGAGAGGCAGTAACTTGGCTATCTTCAGATGTCAGCTATAAATTCTGTTATAAACATTTTGCTATAAATTCTTTTACTTTTTTTTTAAGGTTTAATATAGTCTTTTCACACTTCTTTTGGAATACCAGTCCCCTGCTCTGAGCTGCTTTTCTAGTGCTGGCACCATGCTTAGTCTGGCTGGGCTGCCTCCCCTGCTTAGCTGTCTCCCTCCTGGTGCTACTCTAGGAGGCTGTGTCCCTTGGGCCTCTGCAAGCCAACAGAGCATTGGGGTTTCCTCGGTCAGAGTCTCTGGGCAGGGATTGGGGGCTAGCTCTGTCCAGGGTGGATGTTCCCTGCAGCCTGCCCTAGTCAGGGGTCCCCTAAGTACCATATTATTTGAGAAGCCTGTGCACCCCCGGTCATTCTGCCTCCTGCTTCCCTATTCATTCTCCCCTTTGTAGCACTTAGTTTGAAATGAGGCGTTTGTGGGTGTCAGTGGTCTCTGTGGGTTCAGTACATGCTGCCTCTCTGAGGGCTCAGATCATGGGGCCGGCTGCATAGCCAGTGTCCAGAGTGAGGCCTCACGTAGGGCCTGGTGAGGAAGGGTTTGTTCAATAAATGGAAGGAGGGAGGGAAACAATCCTATTGGAGGGTCAGAGAAGGTGTGACAGCTTAGGGAAGGAGGGCTTGAGTGGGAGGGAGCAGCCCTGGGCCACGCTGGGATCAGGACTGTGCTTACTATTCTGTTGATCTCTAGGCAGCCTTCTCTGCTCTGATCTGGTTGCTTCTCGGCCTTCTGACTGCCTGCATGGTGGTCACTGCCTGCACCTCTAACTGCCAGTTCCCCTGTCCCCTTCCCAAAGGCCCTGGCTGCCTCTCTGTTTGTCTCCTAGTTCTCTCCTGGAGCCACTGCTGGCCCCATCTGGCCAGCTCACGGACTAGTTAGCTTGGGGTGAGGTGTCCACATGGGCTAAGTGTCCATGTGCGGCCACATCTGCCTGGCCGTTACTCCAGTAGGAGCTAGCGGGGAGCTGCACTGAGAAGGGCTCTGAGAGAGGAGCAGTCTGCACAGAGCATGCTCTAGGGGAATAAGCAGGCGGTGGGTCATCTGGGCATGCTCTCTGGGCACCCCACAGGTCATGTTCAGGCTGTTCTTGTGTGCCCAGAGCAAGATAGGTGACTTCTGTGGGCACATTTGGACGCTCAGGAGGTCCAAGTCATGAGAGTAGATCTTGCCCTGAGATGCCTCTCTCCACTGACCTCTCACCTCTTCTCAGGCGAGGGCCTCTTATTTGTTAAAGAACACCCCCCGACCCCAGGCATTTCAGCCCTTAGTCTCTCACTTATTTCTGGGACACATCCCTGGAAAGGGATGTATTCAGTATTTTTGAATGAAATGAAGAGCTTGCCAATTCAGATCTCACTGTAAGAGCCCCTCTCAAGCGGACAATGCCTTCTCTTTCAGAGCCCAATGATGAAAGCGGCGCTAATGTGGATGCTTCCAAAATGTGGCGGGATGACCGAGAGCAGTTTTACAAGATTGCCAAGCAGATCGTTCAGAAGTCTCTGGGGCTCTAAGGCTTTGCCATGTGTGCACAGTTACCACCAAGCAGCTTCCAGTGTTTCTCCTCCAGGACGCTGAGTGACAGTGACACTCTGTGCTGGTACCAAACAAGGCAAGGCCGCAGAACTGCAGCTCTGGTCTTCTTTTCCACCCTTCCCACCCCAAACAGCTTCTCTTCTGAAATTACAGTTTATGTAGGATGATGACACTTGGATGCAGCTTTGGAGTGTTCCCAGCAAGGTGGTTCAGGTAGATTGTCCAGGCTGTCACCACTACCTCTCCCAGCTGAAGCGCCTGCGAACCCAACAGCTAGTAGCCTCCCTTCCCTCCTGAGTGCTGAGGGGTATGTGCTGGCCTCCCGGGACTGGAACCAGTAATGCTCCTTCCGAAGAAACGGGGCCAGGTGTCTGTGGGTCCCTCCGGCTCCCTGTGTGCCCACGAGTACGTTATATTTTATAAGCAGGTGTTTTTCTTATAATCTAGTTACATCTCTTTTATTTGTTGTATATTACAAACTATCACGCTTAGAAATACTTTCAGGAAATAAATACTTTCTAAGAATGTGGAAGAATGAACAGTAGGGCCGTGGGGAAGCTCACTGCTACCACACAGCCCCATCTTTCCTGACCGCGTTCCTCAGACACCAGCCGTGTCTTAGTTGCTAATGCGGGGGATAGGAGACTGGAGTTTTAGTCAGATTTCTTCTGGATCTACAGGAGTTTGTCTTCCCCAAGCTCAAAACCGGGGAGTTCTAGGCCTTTGTACATTGTGGCTGCAGTAGGAACTTGACAGTTGGGACAAAATTGTTCTTTGCAGCTTGGAGTTGGAAGGGCTCTACTGTTGGCGCCGTGCAGAGGCGTGCCTTATCTCCAAACTTGACCGGCGCTCGTGGAAGTGGGGCACGCAGGTCCCAGCCCTGGTGGGCACAGGTCACTTACGTGTGGATTGTGGTTTTGATGCCGTCGGTCTCCAGCGTGGGCGGCTCAGCAGCACGATGTCGGGTCCATTATGAGCAATAACAGACCTGTTGCAGTCACACATTCAGCCTGTTTCAACAGGCTGCTGTCAAATAGGAATTTCTATTTTTTAAGTAAGGGACGGCCTCCAAGACCTAGAATAGCTTTTACTTTACTTTGTCCTTTCCTTCCCTTCCCTTCATGATGTGTCTGGTGGACAGGCCGTGGCGTCTGTTTTACTGCCACCTCACACGTAATTTCTTGGGTTAACAAATACTGGCTGAAGGGGCTTTGCATCGGGCTTCAATGGAAACCAGATTCTCTCCTCAGAAGGGCGTCTTTTAAGATTTGGAATCCAGTGCAAGGACTTGTATTTGGAAGGGGAGGGAGAGGGGAGGCATTGCACCTCAGTAGTATTTGTAGGCCCGTTTGCAGGAGGTGGAGCCCTCTCCACAGAAAGGAAAAGTGTGTGGGGATGTGGTCTGTGGGCACGGCTGGAGTGTGGACGTTGTGGCCACATCAGCAGGTGGCCACAGGCTTCCATGAAATCTGGAGAAAGAAGAGGAGATGGTCTCTTTGCAAAACAAAGTATTTTTATTAATTTGTATTTATTAAATACAATTAAATGGAAAAGAGAATCCCCTGGTTAAAAATAAAGTTATATATTTTTCCCCATTCTGCACTGTATTTTTCTTTGTCACATTTTTATATAATCATATGGAGACCCATGGCCAAGTTGCCCACCGTGGAATACACCAGAGGCCCCTCAGCAGAGCTGCCCTCCTGTGGGCATTGCCCATGGGCACCAAGACTCTATTCTGAAGACTTGTGTGAGCCCTGGAGAGGTTCATTCTCTCAGTCCCTTTCCTCCATTCTCCGTGTATTTCCTTCTGGAATGCTTGGGATCCTAGCTGGGGTCTGGGATGGCTTCAGGACTGTGATCTTGGGTAGAGGAGATGTCTGTGTTTACCACTGACTGTGGATGTGGGCAGCAAAGAGCAGTTGTGGGAGCAGGAAGCCAAGACCACATGTGAATTCTCATCGGGACTTGAAGTCACAGTCACTGTGGGACCTGCTTCTGAAGCTCCTGAGTGTGTAATTAGTAAAGGGGCACAAGGTGCCAGTCTTGCTGACCTGCAGTACTGTGGTGACTATCATAGTCGGCTTTTCTTTGTCGTCCACAGGCTTCCCTAGAACCAGGGCTGGCCCTCCTTTCCTGCCCCCAGCTCTCTGCAGCCTCTGAGGTGCTCCCGGTTCAGGCTCGAATCCCTCCTCCCCGAGCAGTGCTCTCTGATGTGATTTTGAGTTGGGGTGCCCAAGACCATCCCAGGTTTGGTGACTTGCTGGACTCACAGCTAGGATACAGGAGAGTAAAAGGATATAAGGCACAGGCAAGACCCCCATGGGGAGGAGTTGGGGACACCAGGTGCAGCATTTAGAGCCTGTCCTGGGGAATCATGCAGGACATGCTTAACTGCCCAGCAAGGAATGTGACAGCACCTGTGAGGTGTCTGCCTGGGGGCTCATCAGAGATCAGAGGCCATGGTTTTTATTGGGGCTGGTCACATGGCACCCCTTCCTGGCACTTCCCAAAATTCCAGGCTCCCAGAGGGACAACAGCTGCCAGCACAGCCATTGTGCCAGTGAGGCACTCTCATCGCGTATGGTGGGAACCCTCCCGAAGTCCACATTCCCAGGAGCCAGCCAAGGGCCAGCCTTGGGCGGGTGGGAGAGGCCACACTGGCTGATCCTGCTGAGCACTCAGGCCAGGGCCCTGGTCCCCTTGGATAAGTCTCAGGAGGTCTGATTGCAGGGCAGGCAGGCACCCTTGAGGACCCTACACCACACATCCCCTCCCACACAGGGAGTGCTGTTCCTGGGCTGAGCTGTGCGGCTGGGATCCAGTATTACAGCCCCCAAATTTGTTCAGGTCGTGCTCCCCGCAGAACTGAGCTTTGTACAGGGAACAAAACTGTTCACTTCCTCAGAGGCCTGCCCGCCACCAAACCAGAACCCTGGCCCAGCAGCACCTTCAAGATCCCCTGCCACCTGCACTCCCTGGGGCATAAGGCCCTGTGTCCGTGGTGTGAGCCACCTGGTGCCCGCTGCCTCCCCACTCTACTGAAGGCTGGCTCTGGAAGATGCTGGCCCCAGCCAGTCACAGAGGCTGCTCCTCTCTTCTCCACATTGCCAGGGTGCCACTTACACCTGCTACCCCAGCCCCAGAAACCTCGGCTTTAGGAGTGGCTTGGGCACTTGCTGGGGCTTCCTCTCCACCTGGCACCTGCCCTAAGGGGTGTGCCACAGTGCCTGTGGTTGACCAGAGTGCCCAGGCTACTCCGGGGCGCACAGGTGCTCACAGGTGTTCTGCCCGGAAAGCTGGACATGGCTGTGCAGACCCACCCGCTGCAGCGTGGGGCTGGAGGCCGTTCAGCCATACTGGGCGCCTGGACCTGCCTGGCCGGCGCGCAGCTCACTATTGTAGAGAGGCTTGGGCATCTGGTCGGGCTAGGCTCTGGAGCCAGAAGTCCCCGATGGCCTCACTGGCAAGAACTAAGAGACCTGGGTTTCCTCCTCCAAGTGCTCCTCTGTGAGCTGACTCATCAGCAGGCCAGGGGGCACTCTGGGCAAAGCCCCTCCACCCTCCACAGGAGGTGGGTCTCTGCGTGGCTGCCCGAAGCCCCTCCTGTGCAGCTCGGATCCAGGTCTGTCTCCACCCAGGGACCTGTCTGGCTGCTTCTGGCCCTGTTACCTCCTCAGCTCCTGCCACCGACCTTCAGTAACGCTAACCCTTCTGCCAGGCATCAGCCACTGCGAGGCTTGCCAGCCTCACCTACTGCTGGCGAAGCCTGGAACAGGGCAGGGAGTGGGCCTTGAGGAATCAAGACCAGAGCGTGAGTCTCGCAGGCTGCAGGTGGCTGGTGCTCGGTGCCTGCCCCTCAGGCCCCAATGGCCCATGCAGTGTGTGACTCTCGAGTGTGACTGTGTTGATGGCACTGCCCTTAGGTGCCCACCTCAGTCCTGACTCTTGTTTGCTCCTGGGTAACGGTGGCGACAAGTTCCTTTCCAGTTGTGTGTGCGTGTACGTGTGTGCGGGCTTACCTGTCTGGCAGACGACCTGACGTTGGCCAAGATTCAGATGGAAACCAGGGACCGAGGGATTGTCTTGCTAATGGCTCTTTGAAATCCTGGATAATACACTAAATGAGTTGGAACCACATGAAACAGTTGCAGCTTCAGGGCAGAGCAGGCTGGGGGTTCTCACGGGTTTCTCCCTCTTGGACCAGTTCCCACCTACGGGAGCAGCTAAGCGGGGAAGAGGCAGTAGCGAGGTCGCACCCACCAGACCTGTGGGCGCCACCTCACCCAGCATAGCCCCGCCTTTGTGAAGACCTGTGAACTCACACGTGTGCACATGCACTCACACCTGTGTGCACAGAGCTCATACGTGCATACAAACGTGTACACACACACACACACACACCGTGCCTCAGAGCAGGAAGCCCCTGGGGCTGGGGACCTGATCGACCCCTCCACCTCCATTGTCCTGGCAGTGCATCCCCAGGAGGCAGTGGGCACCTGAGGTCTGACTGTGCAGGGTGGGATGGGGCTTGGCTTTCACAGCTCACTGCTGTAATTCCCTGGGCACTGCCTGGGACCCTGCCAGGCTGGCGGGTCCTGTCAGGGACAGGCGGACGCTCTATAGGGTACTGGGAGGGTTTGGGGAGACGAGGGCAGGCTTACATCGGCCTGGGCTGCAGGGACAAGGGTGGAAGGCTGTCCCAGACCTGCTGAGCTGGAGTGGAGGAGAAGGGCCCCTGATGGGTGATGGCTGCAGGGGTGGGACCAACCCCTGCCAACTAGAGCCCAGCTGTTGGGGAGGGTGGGGGTGAATTCCTTGTCCATTTTCCTCCCACCTACAGAGATATGCTGGACTCAGGAATGCAGGGCCTGAAGCAGGTGCAGGGGTGGGCCGGGCCCCAGGGCTCAGCACACAGCATGTGGGGTCTGTATGAGGCTTCAGGGCAGCCTTCCAGGCCTGGGGCCCATGGGCAGTTAAGGGAAAGGGTGGCCCGGGCCCATGGATGTGCCCATGGACGTGCCCCAGGGCCCATGAGGTGTCTTGAACAACCTCAGGAAACAGA